GCAGAACATAAGAAATTTATAATTGCAAGGAGTTGGATGTAATTATAAAAAATGAGGATTTTTCTTTTAATTACACTTCACCTTATGGAGGTGGTTGTAATTTTACCGTAAAATTATATTATATTTTTCTACATCTTGTTAGAAAATAATATAAAATGAGATTATTTTATGATACTATATTATTATTTTTTACCCCACACAGATTTATAATTAAATAATAATAATGAGGTAATAACAACTATACCCCTAAGATATGCTAACATAACTTTAAGGTCCTTGTGGTATTGGTAACTATAGCCACACCCTTAAAACAATTACCGCATCCAAGATTTCGAGTACCAGGGACCGATATGCACTGTATTTGTTTCCCACGGGGCCGTGAGTGCTACCATAGACGAAAATTTATAAATCTTATATAAAATAATAAGGATTTAAGAAATGTTAGGAGAGTCATGTGCCTGAAACCAATAGAACATTAGAAATCTTACGGAATAACTTATCTAATGCATTTATTAGGTTAGGGTTTCTAGCAAAATTTAAGGAGTCAAGTTAACCTCAGAGGTATAGATGGTATAGATGTAATTTACCGTAATATTAATAATAATAAATCAAAGTCTAATTTTGTATGTTGAATATTTGATGCAGGAGCTGGTCGGCCGGTAATGGATTGGACAACCAGGCTTAAAATTGCTTTGGGTTCAGCCAAAGGATTTGCTTATCTTCATGAAGACTGTGAGTTAATTACCTATATTATTTTTCTTTTCCATTTTTTAATTTCATTTATTTTACCTAATTAATAATCAATTTAAATACCATAGGTCATCCTCGCATTATCCACAGAGATATCAAAACTGCAAATATTTTGCTTGATGACAATTTTGAAGCAAAGGTAATTATATAAATTAATAATTTATAACAATCAATTAATTTTATAAACTATCACCATTTTATTATAGATACAAGTTATATATATATATTTAATTTTAAACTAATTGCACGTTAATTATTATATATTGTAGGTTGCTGATTTTGGATTGGCTAAGCTCTCTTCGGACAACAACACTCATGTCTCTACTCGAATAATGGGAACATTCGGGTGCGAAAAAATATATAATAATAATAATCCAAATAATTAACTATTTAAAAAAAAAAAAAAAATCAATTAACCAATTAATAATAACGAACATGTAATGCAGATATTTGGCGCCGGAGTATGCATCAAGCGGAAAGCTCACAGAAAAATCCGATGTTTACTCGTACGGAATTATGCTTTTAGAGCTTATAACCGGACGACGCCCTATTGACATCAGCAGGGATGATGATGACGACACCCTAGTTGACTGGGTACGATTTTTTTTCTTCTTCTTATTAATGCTCAAATCTCTCATAAAAATTTACATCAAAAACTTTTAGTACAAGAAAAAAAAAATTGAATTAGTGATGCCATAATTGTGAAACTATCAAAAGTTGTCGGGTAAATTACGGTAAAAAATCCCTTTTGTCAAGGTAATTATAACCACCTCTGAACTCCGAATCTTCTTACACGTCCACCCTTTCGCTGTCAAATTTATTGAAATTTTATAAATTATGTGGAATATTCTCCAGTTTGTACCCGTGTTATCCAATTCGAGCTCCACGTTTTTGAAAAACTGTATTTTTTCACAAACGAGTACAAATTAGAGAACATTCCACGGAATATAGAAGATTATGTTGAATTTGACACCATAAGGATCTACGTGTAATTAAGAAAATTCATTGTTAAGGGGATGAGATTGTAATTACCCAAACATGAGGGATTGTTTCGCAATTTAACCTTACCTCTGGGCTGGTCGTAATTTACCCAAAGTTGTCACTAAATTCATAACTCATTAATTACCAATCGTGTGAAAATTAATATTGTCACTCAAAAGAAGATTATTTCCTATATAATGATATAATAATTTTGCAATATTATATGTATATCTTTTTTAAATTAAATTTTATTTTATGACATATGATGTATGTATGTATATATAAATACAGGCTAGGCCAATTATGATAAAAGTGGCAGAAGGAGGAAGTTATGAAGAGTTTGTTGATCCACGCCTAGAGGGCAATTTTGATCCACATGAGATGCTGCGCATGATATACTCTGCCGCCGCGTGCGTTAGACAATCTGCAAGGAGACGCCCTAAAATGAGCCAGGTTTAATACTTATATAATTTTTAATTAATTTTATATTTATAAATTATTTGACATGGTAATTAATAAAAAATAAAAAATTGTAATTTTTATCGACAGGTTGTGCGTGCTCTAGAAGGCGATGTCTCTCTCGACGACCTAAGTGAGGGGGTGAAGCCGTTGCTCACTTCGAGCGGCTCCGATTACGATTTGAAAAGATACAACAGAAACGGTGGGCCCATGTCGAGCCAAGAGTTCACCAGCAGCGAGTACACCCACTCGAGCGGTGGAAACTCACAAGAAATTAACCGATCCAACCCGGCCAACCGCGTCGGCCGAACCCCTTGATTTTATATGTTACTCTAGTATTGAACGACCATAAATTATTGCAATTGATTGAAGATAAATCCTTATATGTTTCAACACACATTGTTTGATTTCGGTTCGATTTTTAATTTTTTTTTTACGTTAAGTTTTGGGGTTTGATCGACTCGTACGAAATTTTTTCGGTATGTGTTGTAAGAATCTTATACTTGATATAAAATATTGAAGATGATGGTTTATATTTTTTTTTTGTTTTTGTTTTTCATGTTTGATATAGGGAGACACAATTTGTTGATTTTTTTTAATAGGATATTAGGAGATCTAGTCATTAGGTTCTTATTATAGCATAATTGTATTGAAACACCATTGGTGTTTTAGTCAATAATATTGAAAAGTTATGCACTTGTGTGTGTGTGTGTGTTATAATTTTATTATTGATGTGAAATTAGTAGAAGTTATACAAATATTTGGATCCCAAGGTTGAGGCACATAAAAATATATTTTAATTATACAAATACCCTGAAAACTAGACAATTAAAATGAGCAATTCAAAATCTTGAGCGATCTCTTGAATTCTCTAAATTTTTCTATTATACAAATCTGACTCGACAATTAAAATGAGCAATTCAAAATCTCGAACAACCTCTTGAACTCCCTAAATTTTTTTATTATACAAATCTATCTTGAGAGTGAGAGTATTTTCACCGGGATCAAGTTCCGACGCCCTCACATCTTTTTGTGACGCGCGTAGAGTCCGCGCTGAAAATCAAGAAAACGATGGAGCAATTGTGAGATATATACAAAACTCGTGCAAATATACTAAAATTAATTTTGAGTTGATAAAATATGAAAGTAAATTTAGATAAATATATCAAAAGCACAAATATCTAATAATTTCTTTAATTATTTAGAAAAAAATATTTAATTACAAACACTACCTAAATAATGACGTAGGTAATTAATTAGTACAAATTACCTAATTTACCCCTCCTGCCCCACTCCACTAGACCGCTCACCAGATTAACTCCCAAACAGTACCTTCGGTTGTTCGTCGAGCTGTGTATTTGGGGAATCATAAGAGAAGAGGAGAGAGATCTGCACTTCACACACACTAATTGCCGTTGCAATTAAATTAAATTAACAGGAGAAATAATTTTTTCCGGAAGATCCGCTAATTCTCCTCTCACAAACTTGTGATTCGTCGCACAACGAATTCATTTTTTTCGTTTTTCAGTTGAATTGAAACCAAACAGATCTCTGCAGAATGGCGCAGCCGCTTGTGAAGAAAGACGACGATCGCGATGAAGAAGGTGCATTACTTGAATTTTGATTCTTCTGCTCCGTTTTCTGTTCGTTTTGAATTGTGCGATTGATTTGATCGTAATTTCCTGTCATTGTTTCGATTTATTTGATTTTTTTTTTTTTACCTTATTTTGAAATTAAATTCAGATCTGTTTATGTTTGGACTATGATTACGGCAACGATTGGTGTTGTTGATAATGGAGAATCCGGTGAAGTTGATCCGTCATACAATAGGATTTTAGTTTTTTTTTTGTTAGTTTTCTCTCGAGGCTGAGAGTTCTATGATTTATTTGATTCTCCATTGTTTGGAGTTAGCGAACATGTCAGAGTTTTGATTGTCACTCGTGTTAACTTTGACAAATGATTTAATTGCAGTTTTGATTGGCATTTCATTTTTAGATCTGCAGTTTTTTCGGTATTTTGGAATCACGGATGTATTTGTATAGAATGAATTAGCAACACATTAGAGAGGCTTGTAACGCAGTTAATTGGAGTATGGGGCTTAATTCTTATTCAGGGCTGGAAGTATATGACTTGTTTGATTTTGCAACCTTTTAGTGTATTAAGTAACGTATCGTAACTCCTAAATATGATAGAATCGTGACCTTAAATGGAATAAAGGTGTGGCATATATAGGCTTGGTTGGACTTCAGTTGTGTTGGTTCCTTGACTGTGTGTTTACATCTGGTAGATAAATATTTTTTTGGGTTTTTTCGTGATTAATGTTATGATGGTTAACATGTCGATATTGCAGTTGATTACTCTCCTTTTATGGGGATTGAGAAGGGAGCGGTGTTACAGGAAGCTAGGGTTTTTAATGACCCTCAATTAGATGCAAGAAAATGTTCACAGGTAGTTTGCTTTGTCTATCTAGTTCAGTTTTCAGTTTTTTCTTTCTGTTTGTTTTCAAAAGATAATATGCAGGTCTAACTTTCTCTCTCTTGTTTAGGTTATCACGAAGCTTCTGTATCTTCTGAATCAGGGTGAAACTTTTACAAAGGTCAATCTCTCTCTCTCTCTCTCTCTCTCTCTCTCTCTCTCTCTCTCTCTCTCACACACACACACACACACACACACACACACTACATGTCCTCGTCCATGCACGCATTGGCACACCGTACAGATTCCTGCAACACAATTTGAGAGACCAATTGTAATGTCGCACTTTCACATTTTTGGAACCATGAGATATCACCAACATCAGGGTAATTTTGAAGATAAACTTAAACTTGCATGACTAGATATACACATCCTTCACAACACCATGACATAGCACTTGATTAGGCATATTTGAAACAATATTGCTTCAACATGATTTACATTTTACAATGATCATGCTTCGTGCATTGTGGAACTTATTAACTGACTTCCTTAGGAACAGCAGTCTCTATATCTGTTCTTGTGCTCGCATCACTATTCATTTCATATCATCCCGTAGTCAGCCTCGTTCTCCTTGGGCAGATGATTTTTTGTATTTATTTTTCAATTTCTATTGTTGATGCAGTGTAGCAAAATAACCACTATTTCTTTTCCATTTTGGGCATGTGACATATTTTAGTCTATTTAAGATATAACTAAACCCCTTTAATATATATTACAGTTCGAAGCTACAGATGTATTTTTTGCTGTCACAAAGCTGTTCCAGTCCAAAGATATTGGTTTGAGAAGGATGGTTTATCTAATGATAAAGGAAATTTCTCCCTCTGCAGATGAGGTAACTTTGGCATATGGTCCCTCCTTTGCTATTAGCAGCTTTTCGGTACTTATTTAATGTCCAAAGAGGTAGTGATTAGAACTTTTTTCTTTGTCATCAAAGGTTATCATTGTCACAAGCTCCCTAATGAAGGACATGAATAGCCGCACTGATATGTATCGAGCAAATGCTATCCGTGTTCTATGTCGGATTATTGATGGAACACTTTTGACACAAATCGAGAGATACCTAAAGCAAGCTATCGTGGACAAAAATCCAGTAGTTGCTAGTGCTGCTCTTGTCAGCGGTATTCACCTGCTACAGGTACTTTTAGATGTTTGAGATTTGTACAACTTGTATTTAGCTGAAATCCGTATGAGTTAAAATCATTGTGACTATTTTTACAGACAACTCCAGAGATAGTAAAAAGATGGAGTAATGAAGTACAAGAAGCTGTGCAATCACGGGCTGCACTTGTACAGTTCCATGCACTTGCTCTGCTCCACCAGGTAACAACTTTACTGTTTGATAGTATCAGACGGATAGAACAGTTTTTTCAACATAACAAATGATCATCTATCCCCAACTTTGTTTCTACCTTCGTCCTTATGATACCTTTTGTTGATTTCATCTGAAAGTTTCTAAGGGAATTCAAGGAATTACTTTTCAGTACTACTAATTAAGAGCTGCAATAGTTACAAGGCACCCTGAACACAATTGTGATTCGGACAACTAATCTCGAGTAATTTTAGTTACAAGGCTGTATGGGTTAGCTTCCTTACTTACAATGTGGCATCAAATAAAACTGGTCTGAAATCTTCCTCATGTTCCTTAGTTTTGATGGGTCTACAAATTACAATTGCCATAGGTTAGTCTCTGTGTATTCTTTTTCTTGGGAATATACAACTCCTTTTTTCCTTTCAATGAACAAAGTTTTAATGAAGAATAGGCAAGGTGAACCATATTCCATCTGAAGCTAGAAAATGTCACCTGTGGTCGGGGTATCTAAATCTTATTGTTTTACCTAAGCCAGTTTTTTTCTTCTATTTCCTAGTAGTCTCTTGAGGAGGACTCTGACCTTTGCGGAAATTGATTATGCTCTATGATTTCGTCAAAATTTTATGGACATTGTTCTTCTCTTTGTTTGTCAATTTTGGAATTTAAAATTGCTTGGTTATGTAGTAGATTAACTACATAGAACTGGGTACATGGTTTGCATTTTTTAAGTATCTTCACGGGGAAAATGACTTGGACTGTTTTGATTGGATTCTTCTATATCTGAATTTGCAGATACGACAAAACGATCGGTTGGCTATTAGCAAGTTGGTTACCAGCTTGACAAAGGGGACTGTTCGTTCTCCTTTAGCTCAATGCCTTTTGATTCGCTACACTAGTCAGGTGTTGTTTTTACTGGCTTGAAGGAGTTCTGAAATGCCTTCCATTTTTTGTTCTTTGAAGTTCTGACAGAGGATTTATTTGTGGAGCTATATAGGTTATCAGGGAATCAGGTGTTAATTCTCAAACAGTAGACCGCCCATTCTATGACTATCTTGAGGGTTGTCTCCGTCATAAAGCTGAAATGGTTATCTTTGAAGCAGCTAAGGCAATCACGGAACTGAGTAATGTCACTACCCGAGAGTTGACCCCTGCCATAACTGTTTTGCAGCTTTTCTTAAGTTCTTCTAAGCCCGTGCTGAGGTTTGCTGCTGTCCGTACATTGAATAAGGTTGGTGTTTCTATACAGATTTATGAGGAATCATTTAACAAATAATAACTTTTTTTTTTTCCTTCTATTCGTGAAAAAGTTTTTTTCTTTTTATAGTTTTTTTCGGGCTATATAATTTGACTATTTTCCACCTACTGAAGTTTATTGAATTTATCTTACTTAAATCTGGAGTGTTCTTATGAGGACACTAAAAAGCGATTGTTCAATGTTTTCTGAAGTACGATATGAATAACTAGACCATCCACTGTTCAAGTAACTTTGGTTATTTGATTGAGATAGCACTGGATTTCATGATCGAAATAAACCTCATAATCGCAAGAAAGTGGGTTTTTTCGTTGTGGGTCTGGCAAAAATAAAATATGGATAGGATCCTATAAAATCTCCCCCCCTCTTCAAAACTGAACGTGAAAGTTTCCCCAATTGTAGGGATATGTAAAATATGGGATTTCCAATACTAGGAGGAAAGAGATTGGGTCTCAGATAAGCAAATATCTTTTGCTAACTTGTCTCAGCATTCATGGTGGCTCTGACATTACATTTCAAGAAATAGATACAGTAGTTGACCAAATTTATAGTTTATATTGACAGCAAATTGTATTGACTTGCAAAAGATGATCAGCCTGATGGTTTAGTTTTGTCAGATATAATGCTATCTAGTGTGAACTTGCTCTAGCAGATTGGTTTTGGCTCGATAGAAGTTCCTATTCATTTCTGTTAAAGTTCGAATAACCGTAGCTTGGACTTGTCTTCAGGAAATTTATAATAGCAACTTTTATAGAACAACTCAAACGGCAATTCAAGAGTTTACTCCCTGTGCTGACTACATTGGTATAATTTGCAACGACATGATTTCATTTTTCTTGTCCATAATATAGTGTTCATGTTGATACCTAATAAAATAACATTATTGTTTTGAAAATTATGCATCATACCACACTACTTGCTCCGCAAAGACTCTTATCTTAGACCAATGTTGGACCATTTCGTGGAATAATATTTCTCTATTTTCACTTCCACACTCATGTTTTTAAGTTCCATGCACGCGACATGTATTGTTCATAAAGCAGGTTCGCTTATTTTTAATGTATCGAGATTTAAAATGCATGCAGGTGGCTATGACACATCCTATGCCTGTGACTAGTTGTAATATAGACATGGAGAGCTTGATTTCGGACCAGAATAGAAGTATAGCAACTCTTGCCATTACCACTCTTCTGAAAACAGGCAATGAATCTAGTGTCGATCGCTTGATGAAGCAGATTACAAATTTCATGTCTGATATTGCTGATGAATTTAAGATTGTTGTGGTAGAAGCCATAAGATCACTGTGTCTGAAGTTCCCTCTGAAGTACAGATCTCTGTAAGTGATTGTATAGTTTGCCCAACAAAAGATTAATAATTTTATCATCCATTACTGTTTATATTGGTCAATATATTTTTTTTCAAACTTGCTGATCTTATCATTTCTGCAGGATGAATTTCTTGAGCAATATCTTGAGGGAAGAGGGTGGGTTCGACTACAAAAAGGCAATTGTTGATTCAATTGTGATTCTGATTAGAGATATTCCAGATGCCAAAGAAAGTGGACTGCTGCATCTGTGTGAATTTATTGAAGATTGTGAATTCACTTATCTTTCCACCCAGGTTGACTTTGACATTTTTGCACTATACTTTTCATCTAGGCTGCTCTTCTTTGGTGATAGCTAATTTTGCGCACTTAATCCTAATTTTTTGCTTTGTTGTTATTTTAGATACTTCACTTTCTCGGAAATGAGGGACCCAAGACCTCAGATCCCAGTAAATATATCCGCTATATTTACAATCGAGTGATACTTGAGAATGCTACTGTCCGAGCCAGTGCTGTCAGCACACTAGCGAAATTTGGTGCAATGGTTGATACACTTAAAGTAAGTCTACAGCAGTCTCTATTGTTAACATTACGGTTAAGAATATTAAGTTGCTAACTAGAAGAAATCATTTACTATCTTTTCTGCAGCCACGCGTATTCATTTTATTGAGGCGTTGCCTTTTCGACAATGATGACGAGGTCAGTTTTACGTCCCACTGAATGTTTTTTGAACAGTTAGTGTTTCTTGTGATTAGCTTGATTTCCACAGATGAATGATTTGAAGTGTCGTCTTAGATTGTAATTCTACGGGCCCTCTGCCGCTAATTAAGATATCAGTATATGCAAATTTAATGTTAGTCTTTAGATTTCATTCTCCCATCAAGTAGAGGGTCGGTAGTGGATAATGGTGCATGTTCCTCAGGAACTTATCTTTTTTCTTTTTTATTTGGCCAGTCTTTCATTGCTTAATGTTTAATTATGTATGTGTTGTTACATTCTTGAATGTAAAAATGGGAAGTTTCATTTGCCATTGGTGTGATAATGCTTGAAATGATTATTCTAGTTATGGATATTTTAAGCATGTATTATTTTTTAGTCAACTAGGAATAATATAAACATTTAGTTGAAGGCGACCTAGTAGTGATCCTCCCAAATTATAGACAGTTTGAAAGCACTGGTTCTGACTGCAAATGCAAATTTTCAAGAATATGTATGTTTGTTGCTCTGTGAAACTTATGTACAACTCCGCCATCCTATTTACAGGTTCGTGATAGAGCCACACTGTACCTAAACACTCTTGGAGATGGTTCAGTTACTGAAACTCACAAAGATGTTAAAGATTTTTTGTTTGGCTCATTTGATATACCCCTGACAAATTTGGAGATTACTTTGAAAAACTATGTAAGTACTTATACCGAGTCAGTGCCTATCCGAGTGTGGTTTTATATTCGTGTTTGCAGCCTTTTATGTGTAGCTTCAAGCCTTTAATCCATCACCACTTGTTCTTTTGAAACAGTTACAAAATCCTGCAGAAAAGCCTTTTGATATTACATCTGTCCCTAGGGAGGTTAAATCTCAGCCTCTTGCTGAGAAGAAAGCCACTGGCAAAAAGCCAACTGGTTTGGGTGCTCCACCTCCGCCCCCCACTTCTGCAGCTGATGCTTATGAAAGAATTCTCACTGCGATCCCTGAATTTGCAAGTTTTGGAAAGCTTTTCAAGGTTTTGTTAATGAGCATTTTTTTTCATAATTTAATTCATCTCATGATTAATTGTTGTAATGCCTTGATGAGTAAAGTAATTTAATGAATTTTCATTGCTCGTGATCAGTCATCAGCTCCGGTGGAGCTTACAGAAGCAGAAACCGAGTATGCAGTTAATGTTGTCAAGCATATATTTGACAGCCACGTGGTGTTTCAGTACAATTGCACAAATACGATAGCAGAGCAGCTACTTGAAAATGTAAAAACCGAAAGTTTTCTTTTCTTTTTTTACACTACCTTTTGACCTTAATATAAGGATTTGGTTTCTTATTTGTTGTCTCCCTTCTGCTAGGTGACTGTTGTTGTGGATGCTTCTGAAGCAGAGGAGTTCTCTGAAGTAGGAACAAAACCTATAAAATCTCTTCCATATGATACACCAGCCCAAACATTTGTGGCATATGAGAAACCTGAAGGCATCCCTGCCATCGGGAAATTCTCGAATACGCTGAGGTTTACTGTTAAAGAGGTAATTATATGTTCCTTAATTAATTTAATTCAATTGTTAAGAGAATTTATTGCAAATTTGCTTAATTATTGTTCATATACCGGTAGTCTTGTTCTCTATCCGTAAATTCACTTTTTTTTAAATTTGGTTTAGGTTGATACATCTACCGGTGAGGCTGAAGATGATGGTGTGGAAGATGAGTACCAGCTAGAGGATTTCGAAGTAGTTGCTGCAGATTATATTCTTAAAGTGGGGGTCTCTAACTTCAAGAATGCATGGGAAAGCATGGACGCTGAATCTGAGCGCGTAGATGAATATGGTCTTGGTGCTAGAGAAAGTCTGACAGAAGCTGTGAATGCAGTCATCAATCTTCTTGGCATGCAACCTTGTGAGGTCAGTCACTCCTTTACGACGTACCTTAATTTTACGATAATTAGTCTTTCTGTTTGTTGTCAAAGCTGAGGATTGTGACTTGTTAGGCCATGTTTGAGAACTAGGATAAGGACTTGATAGACAATATAATCAGGGTTTGTCTAATTTTTACTCCCTCCATTTCAAAATAAGTTTCGTTTACGGTAAACACAGCAGGGATTAAGAAACCTGATAGATAAATAAATAGTCTCCTTTTTAATGGAAACATTGAAGAAAGATCAATTAGTTGTACAAATTAATGAGCTTGAACAGTCAATGATAAAGGGCAAAATTGGTAACTAAATTATTAATAATTTTGCCTTGAAATTCTGAAGCGACACTTAGTATGATGGGAAACAATAATATGGTCAAAGGGATGCTTGTTTTGAAACGGAGGGAGTAAGGTTTATGTTTCAAGCCCGTGATAAAATTGAGCCCCGACTTTAATCAAGCATGTAAGGATATTTAGTCTAAACTCAGTCCCATTATTACAATCCACCTACGAAGGATATCACCAAAAACAAGGATTGTATAATCACATAACATCGTTACGGATAATATAAGCCAACCAATTCAATCAATCTTATCAATCTTATCAATCCCATCAACACTCCAAATAAATAGTTTGTGGAACAAATTGCGTCAGATCAAATGTTAAGGTAAGGGGTTTCAATCTGCTGAAATGTTTAGATGTTCCTCATTAATCTTGAATCTGCTAATGTATTTCAAACCATCTGTTTTTTTTTTTTTTTTGTAAATAAAGCTAATAGAGTACGTACATACATACGTTTTTGTGGGTCCGTTTTGTGTTCACAGGGAACAGAGGTTGTTACGAGCAACTCAAGATCGCATACATGTTTGTTATCGGGTGTGTACATAGGCAATGTGAAGGTGCTTGTCCGATTGTCGTTCGGTATTGATGGCTCAAAAGATGTGGCGATGAAGTTAGCTGTGAGATCTGATGACGTAAATGTTAGTGATGTGATCCATGAAATCGTTGCTAGTGGGTAGTTTTTAAATAAAACTCAACCCTTTTAGTTTATTTTATTTTATTCTTTTTTGTATTTCTTGGCTGAGGAAACTATTTTTGTTTGGTAGATTAAATTCTTGTTTTTACTAACATCAGTCAGATTTATTTGCGTAATGGAGATGAGAGTTTGTATGTACGAGCACACTAGTAGTGGAAAAATATATGGACTGTGTACAATATTCGACTTTTCCGCTGGAATGGGGAAAATCCATAGTATATTATATCGATTGATTTCTTATCATTTCTCCTTTTGAGATGATGAACTGAATTTCGATTTTAATGTCGTAACTTCGTAAGATATCATATGTAGTCCGCGGTTGGTCACGTCACGGTATATTACTTGTTCGTATAGTTGGAATGAGAATAGTTTATTTGTGTTACTTGTGCGTTTATTGGTTATTAACATCGACTATATATTGAAAATTGGAAGGTTAAAAGCGCTTAATATTTGACTGTGTTGTTAATGAGACCAGTATTTATGAGAACAACCATGTCAAATTGTCAATGATTATCATCATTGCATGATATCGAAAACTCATCTATGGATAGTTAGAGACATCGTTAAACAAATAATGTTTATATGCAAGATTTGACTTTGTTACGCAAATCTGCAGATGAACTTTTTGCTGCTGATTATTAGAGAGAGAAATTAAATTCAGAAAAAAAAATTAAATAAATAAAAATAGATATGTACTTTTATGAATTTGTCAATAATTAAATTTATGAATATTCATCAGAAAGTAATTCCGATGCCGGGAATCGAACCCGGGTCCCCTGGGTGAAAGCCAGATATCCTAACCGCTGGACGACATCGGATTGATGTTTATTCAGTAATAAATATATATTTCTTTATGAAAAATTAAATTAACAAAAATTAAAAATAAAATTCCGATGCCGGGAATCGAACCCGGGTCCCCTGGGTGAAAGCCAGATATCCTAACCGCTGGACGACATCGGATTATTGGTAAACATCTATTCATAGTTCTATATAGTAAAAACCCGTTTCATTAACAAAAATAAAAAATTTATTCCGATGCCGGGAATCGAACCCGGGTCCCCTGGGTGAAAGCCAGATATCCTAACCGCTGGACGACATCGGATTGATGATTATAATGTATATGTTTGTACTAAAACTCTAAAATAGTTGGGGATAATATAGTTGAATCGGATTGTTGAAAAACTTGCCGGCAAGACAGCTAATTATTGGAATAAGTTTAGGGTGTTTACCTACTTACTTTCTTGTGACTAATATTTCCTCTGAATGGGGTATCTGCCATTGAAGCATTTCAAACATTTGCTCTATATGGCAGAGAAAATTATGAAAAACTCAAGAAAACCATAAACTAATTACCAGCAAACATAAATCATTATAAGATTGAATTTCATATTACAATAGTTGGGGAAGTCATTTAGATTCATCGAAATTTGGACCTTATGTAATATAGTTGAGAATGAAGTATTTCCATTAATCTATTTCAACCGCAAGTAAAATCAATTATTGATTTATTCTATGCTGCACTCAGTGAATGTCATCAAAAATATAAATCTCAGCATTAACTATTCCTAATTATTTATTTTACACATATTCATATGTATATATGTGTTTGTATTTAGTGGTGTGTATATATCTATGTTGAGTTACGTACTAAATACAATTCACCAAGTGTAGTGTACAAGACCTCAGAAAAAAGTTCCAATCCGACTCAACAAACGCGTCCTTGCGAGTGAGAAAACGAAACAATCGCATCACCAATTTGATCGTGAAATATAGTTAGATGCATTCTAGGGAAAATAACAAAAATTAATATAGTAGTAAGATAAACATCACAGGAAAATTCAGTTCACAGACACGATTTCCTAGATGTTACACCTCGTGAAATGCATCGACCGATTTTTCACCTTTGATTTACGCACAATCACGGATATAAAATATGTAAATGTGCGTAAAATATGTACACACACCTGTGTCGAGTTTCACCCAGTGAAATTCACGAGGTGTAGTATAAATGCCACAAACCTACAAACACAACTCCCACTCGTAATAACAGGGGTTATAGTCCTAACAAAATTCATCAAAATAGAACGTTAAACCAAAATTGCACGTTTTACTAACAAATTGAATGATGAAAATGGAAAAAAAAGAAAAAGAAAAAGAAAAAAAAACCCTCGACCTTCGAAAAAGAATTGAAAAAAAAAATGGCGGAAATAGCACCTAGAAAATTCGACGCGTACATTAAAAAAAAATAAAAAATAAGAAGCCTTTTAATTTAGGCTCCAGAGTGGGACACTGGAGTTGTTACAATTTGGCCATCCTTGTATACATGAATATACTGTTGTGGCAAAGCATGCTCTCCCTGTAAGAAAATATATATATATATACACTTAATCTTTAAACATTTCTACGTAAAATAACTTCTACCATTGTCCAGTGTCAGTGTTCGTTAGTTTTCGGGTATCTTAAAGTTTTAAATAATTTTTACAGTCGGCTACGTAGTCATTTATAATATGATTGTTTGGATTAAGCTTTAATAAAAGAAAATGAAACATACCCAATCACCGTCTGTTTCGGATGCAGGTACTAGTACATTGATTTCGCTCGACTTTGCTGTTGTTATAGAAGTCTCTAGAGAATCTTTGCTCAAGTACAGCTGGCAACCTGCTGTATTATCTACTGAAATTGTAGGAGCCGAGCCCTATGAAGGAAAATTCGCAAATAAAAATGACGGTGTTTAGATGAACGATATTTTATTCTCTCGATGGCTGAGGCATATTTGTAGGATTTTTTATTACCTGACATTGCACCTCCACAGAATTACAATTGACAATCTCGCAAGCTGCCACAACATCCTAATTGGAAGTTGACATTTAAATTATAACGGGTTCCATAATTCAGACAAACAGTTGTTCATTTTAAAACGAGTTCTTTTAAACTGACCTTGAATACGATTCCCATCTTAGTGCACTTGTCCAAGGTAATATTGTTCACTTTTCCTGCATATAGATATCATCTCCTTTAGATTATAAACTTGAAGCCAACTTAAAATGGATGGCAGATTATATTCGATACAGTGCATAAACGCCTATACATTATAGTGAAAGAGTATATACCTTGGATCTGAAGAACCGAATTCTTGCACCCGTATACATATACTGTCTGCTTTGCATCACACTCATCAATTACTAAATTGTTTTGACCAATTTGATTATCACCCACCCACCCGAAAGGAATATAAAAAAGTGAAAAAGTAATCATATGCAGCAGTATATATATATATATATATATATATATATATATATATATATATATATATATATATATATATATATATATATATATATATATATATCAAGATCGAATATGGATAAATATAAACACTACTTACTTTCGACCCATTTGAAGTTCTAGTTTTGGAGGCCCAGTTTTAGTTAAAGCAGGTGAACTAGCACGGCTTTCTTTCTCAGAAATACTAACTACACCAACTCTATCTGTACGGTTCTTGGCCTTCATCTCGGCAGTCACCTTCCTCAGACCTTGAAGAAATTTCAAAACATACTCAGATGATGAATAAGTACATCCAGCAAGGCCTCGTTTGGGAAACGTTGATGGGATTGACAAGATCGATTATCTTATGTTTCGGGTTTGTGATTATACAATCCTTATGGAAATATACTTCATTAAAACCCGGGGCCCTTTTTTTTCCAAAACTAATTCCAGAACACCAGCTATTTGACAAACATCGATGACATTGTCTATCAAGTCCTATCATAATTCGCAAACAAGGGATAAATGTAAATAGAGAGAACACTAACGGTGAAATAATTACCTGAAGTAACTGGTTTTCCAGAATTAAGTTCTTGGAAAACAGCAGCCATCCCTTCTTTTGGGCGGGAAGAAGAAGGCTGCGCTGTTTCGGAGCTGAAAAGTGAAGCAGGCGGAGGCGGTGGAGCAGCTGGACCATGACCTTTCATTGGAGCGGGTGATACTGTCTTCCCTGTGGCACTCCATGTGGGGCCCAATGGATAGTGAGTCTTGACATAATCCCTCAAGCCAGGCACGTAAAGCTCCTTTAAAGCCTTTGCCCACTCGACATGACTTGCATCTTTGTTTCTGTACTCCACAAGAATCTAAGCGAAAAACGAGATGATCATCAAATATTTCAATAACAACATTTAGTTATTATTGAACGAGATGAGTTCCAACAACTAGAATATCTTAAATCATCAACTTAGTTATCGACTTATGATAACATTTCAATAATAAACCAAGAAAATATTTGTATGTACATTGATTCACTGCCAACAAATTTATACTCGTAACGATTAGTCAGATAAACTCACTTCGTAACAATCAACATATGCATTTACCTCTTAGAATCTGGTTTTCAGTCAGAGTATATTGAAAGTTAACGAGGAACATAAACTTTTTCAGTAGATAAAAAGCGACAAGTTAATAAGTCATATTCCCGTTCTTATTTCTGAATTCACATGGCACAAAATATCCGACACTATGACAAGGTTACTACTGCGGCTATTACTCCAATTAGGGCAACGAAGGAAGTCCGACATGAAACGATAAAAACACGGCTGAAGAATCACAAAAGTGTTCCTATGATTTCTTCCTATGTGTTTTTGTTGTCCTTTCTCTTTTCATTTTCTTCCACTTACTGAAGAGTAGACTAATTTCAAGTTATATAGGTAAAGAATAAGATTATTTACCTTGTTACAGTAAAACTCAGCGGTTTGCCAACTTTCTTCAACATGTGAAATAGGCATGTTCATACCTAACATAAGGGAGTAGATTATATTATCGAAGAAGAACAAGATGAGAGTGAGCTAATTGAATCAGTGGCACACACATCTCCAAGTTGTTGTTTTTTTTTTTAATAATTATTACCGCAGTTTTTTCCAGTAAATGCGATCCATACAAGAGCAGAGAGACTATCGGCAGCTGTCTTTAGGTGGTGGAAAAAATCAGACCGCCTTCCCTCCGCCAATGCAGAAGCTTTTGTAATAACCTCATTCAATGGCTTAAGGAATTCGCCTAACCCCGCCATATCAGGTTTCTGCATAGTTGGCATAACCTAACTTTGAGCATCGGAGTAAAACTAAAAAGGAAAAGGGAAGTGAAATAAAATAGCAGATAGTAAAAAATAAAGAAGCAATTTAATGCGCAGAGATTATCCGCGTAATTCAACTGGAACACTTGCAAAATATAGTTAGAAATTATAACCAGTTTCTCATCATACTATACTATTCACCCATAAAAAAACCAGCGCATAATTCCATAATCATATATTTTCTACAAAACTACGTTGGAATTTTTAATCCCGAACATACAAATTGATAATCGCATTATTTATAAAAGTGTCCCTATCATCTCTCTGATTCGGTTCTCTTTCATTCCAATACATCTTTCATCAAAACAAAAAAGTGAGATTACGACAGATCAACTCAGACAAATTGGGGAGTATTTCTACACATGATGAAATCGGCAATCACAATTTTAATATTATCAATTTAAGATAACTATTCGAACTCTAAGATTCCATGTGCTCGACATCGATACATCACAAACGATCACAAAAACGAATGTCTCCTTAATTCGCAATAACAGAACTCCCAACATGATAGTGATTCCAAATGCTCAATCATAAAATCTCATCATTCTAAATTTACAGTATCTACTGAAATTACATGATCCAATGTATGAACGTAGTAATCGAACTAACGAGAACCGAATGTTTTAATCGAAAATCCACAATATAATTACGAACCAAAAAACCAATAATACAGCTAATTTTAACGAGAATTGAAATTAACCTGAGTTTGCTTGATTTTGACGAGAAGATCTCTCTGGACAATAAAAGCTTCCTCGATGATCTTCGAAACATCAAAAACCTGTCCTCCAATCTTCTCCGCGGCGATCGTAACTCCATTGACGTGTTGCGAAATGAGATCGTCAAACGCCACAATCGAGGGATCCGCGGCGCCGGCATCTCGACTGACCTCCGCCGCACCTACATGGAGGAAACCTCCGGCGGACAGCGCCTCCAGCCGCGTCACCGCCGATTCTAGCCTCGTTATCAAACTACCGTCCATAATTCGCTCCGGCGCAAACTCACTGAGTCCAATAGTTTCTGATTCTACAAAATTTAAATTGCAGTTTTTTTTCAGATAGAAATGGAGATCTGGATTTTTTGTGTGTGCTGTGTTTTTGAAGGTGCAGTTTGGATTGTTAAGGGTGTTTGTGTTTGCGGGAAATTCTGATAGTTTCGAATTTATTTATTTTTATTTTCTTATTATTGTTATTAATATTTTTATCTGCTTTCTATTTTATTATTTTTCTCCCAACAAATATGTGGTGTACACGTGTCGGACAAACAGTTTTATGAGCTTTGAACAACACTTGTCAAAATAGAGCCATCAAATTATAGGGTGAAAATTGATTAAAAAATTTCACCTATTATAAGTTGAGTGTGTTTACGTTTTTCGTATGCTTTGAAAGATTCGAGAGTGTAGGTTTACCCAATGCAAAAACAAAGTCGATTTGATATTCTAATTTTCGATTCGCTTTTATTTTCCAAAACTAATTATGAGAATGCCAATTCCATATTTGAAAATTGCTTCTATAAAATCAATACTATTGTGAATTTTAAAAAAATGGAAATTCTGATTTTCAGCGGTGTTTTATCCGAAAATTTTTGATTTTAGAACAAGTTTTTTCATTCCGAATTTTCTGATTCTTTTTTAAACCAGAATTGAAATTAAAAATAGACCTGTAAAATGGAATTGTAACAACTAAAAATGAATTTGTGGGGAGATAATCAAGCAAACTATAATTAAAAATGTACCTATATTTACAACATAATTTAAAAACTAGATATAAATATATGCGAGTACATATTGCAAGAAAAATAAATAAAACAGAAATTTGTTCTCTATAAGGTATACCTTTTTTTTTTTTCATTTCATGCATCATGAAAAGAAAAAAAAATGATTTATCTCCACCTAAGTCTTCCTTCATCATCATTCACAACTTCCTTCTGTGCTGATTGCATTTTATTCTTGCCAGATGCTTGCGGATGCAGAGGATCCGTATCTCTAACAGAACGAGGTTCCTACGGAAAAAAAAAACGTAACTATAACGAAATAAACACGTATAAATCAGCTTGCTTAAACTCAATGGCACAGCCAGAATTTTATAAAAATGTAATGAGGCAGAGGCTTACAGTACGGTACGGGAATTCATCTGCTTCGAGCATGTGAACAATTTGTCCCATCTTCGGGCGTTTATTCGCATCCATATCTATACATCGAAGGCAGAGCAATAATATTCTCTTCAAAGCTCTTTGTGGAGGAGGAATATCCATAACAGGATCCACAACTTCTTCGCCTCGGCGATTCGCTACCATCCCTTTGAACCAATCAATCAGATTCATCTGAAATTGAAAGAGAAACAAAAAATTAAAATCGTAACCATTTTTTCAGTTAAGAAGTATATGACAATTTTTTTTTAATTTACCTCTCCAGGTGGTTTGGAATAGTCTATTGGGCTTCTTCCAGTTATTATTTCCATGAGTAGTACTCCGAAGCTGTATACATCATTCCCCTCGTTAAGCATGCCGGTACTTGCATAGTCAGGGGAGACATATCTGGAAAACAAATAAATAAATATTTAACGAAGAACAAAGACAACTAAAATTTAATATTTCAAAGAGAATTGTGAAACAGAGGTCAAGATAGAACAAACCCAAATGTTCCCATTACTCGTGTAGTGACATAGCTTTTCTCGGATCCCAATAGTTTGGCGAGCCCAAAATCTGATACTTTCGGGTTCCATTTCCTGTCTAGAAGAATGTTACTTGATTTCACATCACGGTGTACAACTTTGGGTTCCAATCCTTCGTGTAAGTATGCCAATCTGCAACAGAATCGAACAAAATATATATAAAAAATAAATAAATAAACCAGAAGTTATAAAAAGTAAATTAATTGGTGAAATCTTTTGACCAACTGAGCTTTCTATATTGTACCATGTATGATATCCGATGTAACAAAGATACTGAAAGGAGACAGACATTAATAAAACGAAATTAAAAAAGTATCGAATCAAGAAAGATATAAATTTCCGGAAATGCCTTCTCACCCTCTGGCTGTGCCGATGGCAATTTTCATCCGAATATCCCAAGTCAAAGGACTAACTGGCCCCACATCACCGTGTAACCACTGCTCCAAATTGCCGTTATCGATGTACTCATAAACAAGAAACCTGATTGGATTAAAAAAAAAACCCGACAATAGCTCAAGAAAACCAGTTTTTACTTTAATAGAAAAAAAAATAATGGAAATGAGTAAGTAAGTACCGTTGAGCTCCTTCTGCACAATAACCTAAGAGACCGACAAGGTTCTTGTGTTTGACTTTCCCAATGGCTTCAACCTCAACCTTAAACTCCTTCTCCGCCTGACCCCTGTTCACAAGAACATCATAGAACATTAAAATTGTGTAATATACTCTGCTCTAACGAAACAACTGTAGTCAGAAGTTTGCGATCATCGTTGCTATGTGCTGTAAGAAAACTAATAAAAAGAATTTTTTGATGTTGCATTAAAGATTGCGATTCAAATTAGGGGTGGCAAATCGGTGGGTAGGAATTCTAATGCACCCCCAACAATAGAGGCAGTGAGATCCAGTAAAATGCTGGACCTGATCCATGGATCGAATACCATATTACCAAAATTCAAATTCTTCTTTCAGACATATAAGGAAAGCAATCGATGTCTTTGGTTATATGCTATATTACAAACTGGATAATGGTCTCGTGGATATTAATTATTAAACTGCATCTATTAAACCTTAAAGATTTACATCAAAATTTGAATGTGGTTCGTCCTTCCATTCATTGTCTTCCGTAACGGTGAAATTTATTATGCTAATAACAACAAAAAAAATCTTGTTGAACTCCAAATATTTAAGGAAACAGTTTCATCTCTATTCCGTTTGAAGTGAGGGAAAGGTGATATTATCATGTTGCAGTAAAATTTGAAGCAACATATTCTCCTCCCCGATAGAGACATGTAACATCGAACAAAGGTTTAATTAACATTTTTTCATTGCTTGAACTAACTCTTCTTAGAAAATAACATTCCACAGAAAACTAAAGGAATAAGGAGCCAAAGTAAAAGAAAACCAGAATATAAACTGAGAAAGGAAAAGGGAAAAGATAAAGTTAATCGAGATAAATTAAAAGCAACATAATGCCACTGCAAAATCTACATTAAAATTAATTAAAGGAAAAAAGACAGGTCTAAAGCTTGCTCTGTAAAAGAGGGTTGAAGAAAAACAAGATCTAAAGAAACTAGAGCTACCGTTTACCTTGTCTTATTTTACTTAATCCCCAGTCAAAAGAGACAAATAAAGAAAAATCAGTCACCCACAAACCCATCCCGATACAATCCGGATCGAAGCTTTGATTCCGTTACCATCGCCATCAAGGAATAACCACCAAAACACGTAATATTACACTAGCACACTGCATGTGAATTGTAATCTACACCGACAGTTCGAATAGAAATCGAACAAAATTTCCGTGAACAAATTCATTAATGCAAAACCAAAGACGAAATGCAATGTGCGGAAATACATCTACACACCAAACATTATTGCGAAATTAACATCTAAATGGCATGTTTTGTTAAATTTTAATTCCATGACTATTATGAAGTACTATTCCTGAAATTCAAAGAGCTGTTAAGAGTGACTCACTTGTTGTTTAGAAGATGTTTTACTGCAACTACGGAACCGTCGTGCAAAACGCCTCGATAGACGATACCGTAGCCTCCTTCTCCGACCACATTTTCAGCAGAGAACTGACTTGTGGCGGTTTGAAGCTCATTTAAGCTGTACCATCTACCCCAGCCGAAATTCACCATACCGTCGGTGGTGGTGGTGGTGGTGGACGCCGCCGACAATGCCGACGACGACTCGCTCCGAGTCGTGCTGGACTCTTTGCTCCCCGACTCAATGTCCAAACCCCTCGCCACGTCAGCAATCAGAAAAACCTTATTCTTCTCACTCGCGACTTCGTTCGCTTGCCTTTGATCGGAGCCGATCTCCTTGCCAACCAGCGGCAGAAGCCCCGAGCCGTGGTTGACGCCGACGCGGCGCCGCTTGGAGCTCCGATTGCGGAGGAACATGAGAATCAGGAGGAAGACGGCGACCACGGCCAATACGGTGGCGATTATGAGCACGTAGAGCTTCTGCCCGAAAATCGGCGTTCTGGAGGTGAAAACGCTGTCGCCGGAGGAACTGCCGGAATCCGCCATTGCCGCCGGCCAAATCGTATAAAAATGTGTGCGAAAAAAATGCGAAAAATAAATTTGCTGAGGCTGAACTGGCTAAGGCATGTGTGATACTACTGTAGAAATTGAGACGAAAAGTGAACGCCTATCTAGCTGAAGAAAATGAGTGGAAGAATGGAGAAAAAGTGGGGCATTTTTTCTACTGTGTAACAATGGAGAGTGGGCACACAGAGGACACCTACTAAAGTGTGTGGAGTTACCAGAAAGAAAAAGGATTAACGGTGTTAGACAAAAACCAAACGGAGGACCGTTAAAGGTGTTTAATTCACCGTTCGACGTCGCTTTTTACCATTCTGCCCTTGAGGCTCTCCTTATTTACTATTTTACCATTAAAGTATGGGGCTTACTATTCATAGTGCAATTTTTTCCGGTTACAGTGCGAAATAATTCATTTGTCAAAAAACCCTTTAACATTTTTCGAAATCCTCTCAACCTCCGAATTTTAAAACTTACCAAATCGTCAAATTTGTCCGATAGTATCATTTAGAACACAATAATTATCAAGAAGTATGAAACCTAAATCGATTTTGAGATTAAAAAATGTGTTTTTTGTCGATTTTCGACATTTTTATGAATTTCGTGTTCTGTAGCACGAAATGAAACACTCCATTTCGTGCAATACAACACGAAACGCTTTATTTTTCAGAATTTTGTATTATTTCGTGTAAATTTACACGAAATGCAAGCTTGCATTTCGTGTAAATTTACGTGAAATACAAGCTTGCATTTCGTGTAAATTTCCAGGAAATGCAACGTGAAATCACTATTTTTTTTTAATTACTCCATTTTTAACACTCAAATAAATACAAGAGAATAACAACAAACTTAAAATGAAATTCAAATACTAAATAAACTAAAATTCAAATGTAAATACAAATTAAAATAAACCTATATTTCGTAAACTACGTGCCATACTTTAATATAATAACGATATACACAAATCCATAAGACATTGCATAGTATTGATAACAAAAAATATATATTGCAAAATCTACAACCAAACTACAAAAATTATATGGTTTACATGCTAAAATAAAAAAAAATTTAATAGTAAACAGACCAATTTCTTTAAAACAATAAAGAAAAAAGTTAAGTATTAAAAGTGTATGATTTATGGTCATTTAATTTGTAATATTCATCAATGTAATTATTATTATTATTATTCTTATTATTATTATAAGATTTAGGATCGTATGTAACTAGTGTTTGTAATCAAAACCTATAATTTTAGCATAATTTAGTTTTATTCTTAAAATATATGTTTTTATAGCAAATCGAATCCTAAATCTTATGAATCAAATTGTGAGATTCTTGTTCTTGTTCCTACATAAAAAAATCGTATTAAATAATGTGAAATCCCTTAAAAAAATGAAGTTATTTAATACGATTTTTTGTTATGCAGGAACAAGAACAAGAATCTCACGATTAAAGTACGGTCCGTAGTTTACGAAATATTTATTTTGATTTGTATTTACATTTGAATTTCAGTCTACTTAGTATTTGAATTTCATTTTAAGTTTGTTGTTATTCTCTTGTATTTATTTGAGTGTTAAAAATGAAATAATTAAAAAAAAATAAAAAAAAATAGTTGTTTCACGTTAATTTACACGAAATGCTCAAATAGCCTGTAAATTACCTTTTTTTTTCAATTTTTTATTGAAAAAATATACACAAATATATTTATATATATTATTAATATTCCCAAAATAAATACGGAACTCTTTCTTGAATCGACAAAAAAAATTATTGATAAATACATTTACAATAATGAAAGAAAACAAGAAAGAATTAATAAAGAAAAGAAAAATTCAATTCCGTTTATTTCGACTATAAAAAAGCTACTATTAATTTTTTTTTATTTTAGCATGTAAACCATATAATTTTTGTAGTTTGGTTGTAGATTTTGCAATATATATTTTTTGTTATGAATACTATGCAATGTCTTATGGATTTGTGTATATCGTTATTATATTAAAGTATGGTACATAGTTTACGAAATATAGGTTTATTTTAATTTGTATTTACATTTGAATTTTAGTTTATTTAGTATTTGAATTTCATTTTAAGTTTGTTGTTATTCTCTTGTATTTATTTGAGTGTTAAAAATGGAGTAATTAAAAAAAATAGTGATTTCACATTGCATTTCCTGGAAATTTACACGAAATTCAAGCTTGTATTTCGTGTAAATTTACACGAAATTCAAGCTTGTATTTCGTGTAAATTTACACGAAATACATAAAAAACTAAAATACTATGGTTTCGTACATCGTAAAAAAACACTATTTCGTGCTTCTTTGCACGAAATGCTTCTATCCATTTCGTGTTAGGGAATACGAAATACTCATGCACGAAACACGGTTGGACAAGGGTTTGAGAGAAATGTGGTTTTTTTCTTGAAAAATTACAAATGAAATAAAGTCGCACTGCAAGCCGGTAAAAGTTGTTCTATGAATAGCATTTCAGTTAAAGTATTTAACATTTATAATAATAATAATAAATAAAATGCAAAGGTTTGAAAAACGAGTGGTTCATTGCTCAAATCGAAACGAAAGAAATAAATTAGAAGAAAGATATTTAATTATTGCAACGAAGTAGTAACGCAGAAGTAAAACAAGTAATAATTTTTTTTATCTTTTTCTTGAAATTAAATTGAAAATGACACATTCAAGAATTGAAAATAACACCAACCATAGATGCTGTCTCTTTCCCTCTCATAACTTATGTTATTTATATTATTCATACAAATGTGAATAATATATGTTAGTGGTTGAATTCATACACTTTGGTGACATCAGCCGTTTTAAGCTCATGTGGTTTTAACACGTATATTTAAATAAATAATTATCCACTAAATATACATACACATGGGTGTGTGTTATTACGTGTAGATCAATGATGTAAATCTATATCGTGTATTTCAGCAGGTGTAGGTTCTACAAAACCGTAAATATCGAGTGTCACCATTTTAAACTCGATGGCAAATTAATGAGAATTTTGTTCACCACATGTGATCTCATAACTATTTTTTCTTTTAATTACCAAAACTACCTAATTATTACACTAGACAAAATTAAATGATAGCACATAATAAGTGCATATACCTAATTATTGAGTTATGAATGGAATCATTTTTGTATGGTTTACAATAAATTTTACAATGAATGAGAGTGAAATTTATCACTCCAACCTTGCCACTATATTTGTCATTTTAGAAGAAAAAAAAGTATATTTCTTAGATGGGCAAATTACGGCCACCTCCCGTGATAAAAGTCAAATTACGAAAAAAACTCAATCCAGATTGAGTAATCACAATTTAAATATTAACTAACTATCTCTTATAAATCAGTAAATGATAGATGTTATTTTATTCATTTTATGTAATTTTAATATATCATAAATCGAGCTACGATTATTGAAATTTTTAATACGTGCAGATGTGGGAAGAGATATTGTGTGGGCCCACTATAACATCCAATTTCAAAAACTCAAATTTCATTAATGAAGGAGCGGCCCATGTCAGGTAGATTTCGTTCCTTGTGGATCACGCCCAGCCCGCTCCAATTTAAATTTTGTACTTTCAATTAAATAGCTTCTTTTTCTATTAATATTTTCATAGGAAATTCATTATTTTATTTATGCTAAATTACACCAACACTCCTGAACTATGTTGAAATGACTTTAAGGTTCATGTGCTATTGATAATTAGAGCCACACCCCGGAAACAATTATTATAGCCAAGATTTCATGTTCAAGGGACCCATATGTACTATATATGTTTTCCACAGGGCCGTTAATGCTATCATAGACGAAAATTTACAAATTTTATATAAATAATAATGATTTAATTTATTTTCACCACTGTCTGAAAACTAATAGTCCGTTAGAACTCTAAAGAATAACTTATGTAATGCATTATTCCTGTAGGGTTTCTAACAATATTTTGTAGGTGATTGTAATTACTGATACTATATGGAGCTTAGCATACATCAGGGGTGCAGGTGTAATTTACCATTTTACTTATATATGTATTTAAAATAAAATTCCGTGGAAGTGTAAAGTCAACGTTGTTAGAAAAAGCCCAAATTCACATGTTTAACGGGAAGTGTACAAAAAGCCTAAATGTATTTCAATTGAAGCCCATCTTATTCGGGCTTTAACGTTAGTTCTATGATGAGCCGCTCACATGGGCTTATAAATAAATAAATAAATAATAATAATAATAATAATAATAAAATAAAAATAACAAATAAAATAATAATAATTCAAAAAAGAAAGAGAAAAAGATATCCTCCACCGCCTGTGACCGAAGCCGACGACAGCCAAACACAATTGTATATCGTCTTCTTCCCCATCTAGGAGAGTGCACAGTAGCAGCACCTGAAATTGGCGAAATGGCTTCCATTTTAGCTCGCAAATCCGTCGCCGCGTTTCGTGCTCGTCATCTCGTAAGCCATCGTCGAATTCCTTTTCTTCTTCTGATATTTTCGATCTTTTAAATCATTTCATTTTCCATTTTTGATTTTTTTTTTTTGTGTTCCGATTTGAGAAAGGATGATTCTGGTTGATTTAGTTCTTATTCAGTTAATTTTATGCTCGTATTGATGATTGAATTAGGAAAATCCGGGAAGATGGAGTGATTAATTGTTTTTTTTTTTTTTTTTTTAATTTCATTTGTTCTTAGGGTTTCTTATTGTTATAAGAATTGAAGGAATTGATTGGGGATTATTGTTGTTTGCACGGAAAGATTGGGGATTTCTGTTTCCTTAAAATGATCTACCCGATTTAATTATTTTTATTAGGCACTGTTCTATCTTGGTTTTTTTTTTTTTTTTTAAATTTAGCTTAATGCAGTCTTATGTGAAATAATTAGAAGATATTTATTTAAATATTTTACGATAGACTACATTGATGATTATCATATGAAATATCTTGGCCCCTCTCTGTGTTTACCATATGTAGGCTTTGGCTGGGCAAGCTTTGCAGGCTCCTCGTTGTATTGGAGCAATATCCGGTGAACGCTCTTTTGCCACTAAACACTCTTTCTCTACTGACAAAGGTTTGTTCTTTGTTTATGTGGTTTTTCTTGTTTTTTTTTTATTTTTTATTTTTTTTATTTTTTTATTTTATTTTGGGCACAGCTAATGTATTTTTGATAGTTGATAAATGTGAAAGTGCTTGTTGTTGGCACAATTTTTTTTTCTACTAATCAGCTTTGTAGTGCTTGTTGTGGTAAAAATGCTAGCGGTTCAATGACAACTAATTTCTCGGTCTTTTGTGCTCTTACATATGGTTTCAAGTTTGGATTTGCGTACCCTAACTGTCTTCCACTGAATGGGTGTAAAATGAGAAACTAGTGAGCGTCGTTCTTGCTTCTCTTGAGTGGGGTGGTACCCATATTTTAGAATTTTGAAGGACCTATCTTTTTGTGTAACGCTCCTATTTTCTAATTATTAATTCGACAGATTTCTTGGTGTAATTTGTTGAAGAATGTTGTTAAGGTAGTTTATTAAAACTTCTCGGATATTGGCCTGAAATCCTAGTAAGTGGTGAGCGTCGTTCTTGCTTCTCTATAGGGGGAACCCATGTTTAGAATTTAAAAAAAACTTAATCTTTTTGTGTAATGCTTCGATTTTGTTCCCTAAATTATTGCGACGAATTTCTTGGTATAATTTGTTGAAGAATGTTATTGAGGTAGTTTATTAGAAATTCTCAGACATTGGCCTGAATTCATAGTAAGGTCCATCTGAAATACTTTAGACATGCGCTTAGTGAAACAAATCTATTTTCTGGCCTATAATTTCCATCTTAGACTCGGCACGTGATTTTTAATTGAGTTAGCTTTTAGTTGTTGGAAAACGACTAGTGAATGTGAACTTTTTTCTTGTATGGAAATTAATGTTTGCTGTTTACTACAGATGACGAAGAGAGAGAGAAGCTTGTAAAGGAGATATCAAAGGATTGGAATTCCGGTGAATATTCGCCTTTAACGAACTTTCAATCGGTCGTTGTGTCTGATTTTGATTTCAATTATTCAATTATTAAGTGGGCAATCTTAACCTATTTTTCTTGTTGCATTCCTATAGTTTTTGAGCGGAGCATAAATACATTGTTTCTCACTGAAATGGTTCGAGGCCTGATGCTGACTCTCAAATACTTCTTTGAACCGAAATTTACAGTATGTCTCTTCTTCTTACCCATGTTATGTATTGGTTTGTTTTTTTTTCTTTCTCAATAATTAAATTCCACAGTCGTGCAAGTGAAAATGTGAAATTACTATTTTGTAGATTAACTATCCTTTTGAGAAGGGCCCTTTGAGCCCTCGTTTCCGTGGAGAACATGCTCTCCGAAGATATCCTACTGGAGAAGAACGATGCATTGCTTGCAAGCTTTGTGAAGCTGTAAGTTACTATATTTTTTTCGTCTGTTTCTGTGACGTTTTATTGCAGTAATAACTTCAATTTATCCCCACCGGAAAAAGAAAAAAAAAATTATCAATTGGGTTTTTGAGCCTAATAAAATCCATGCTTTTGTTCGATATGATACTAGATGAGAGCATGAACCATTGTTCTCTTGTCGATTTAACAATCTAAACATCTAATTCTAGCTAATATGACCAATTAGTATAAAATTCGATTCGACGGAAATATTTGTTTCTTGACAGATCTGTCCTGCTCAAGCAATCACCATTGAAGCTGAGGAAAGAGAAGATGGTAGCAGAAGGACAACCAGGTAAAATACTCTTCCTCTCGCTTTTTCATCTATGTTCTCGTGTGTGTATGTGCGTGCAATGGTGAAGGCCAACATAGGGCGATGGGAGGCCATCCCCCCCCCCCCCCCCCACCCCCCACCCCAAGAGATATTTTTGTATATATTTGGCCACCGTGAATACAAAATGCAATGTTTAAATTCGACAGGTACGATATTGACATGACAAAGTGCATATATTGCGGGTTTTGCCAAGAAGCATGCCCAGTTGATGCCATTGTTGAAGGTCCCAACTTTGAGTTCGCTACTGAAACTCACGAGGTTCGAGTTTTATACATATCTCATTCGTTTAATCTATATCCAGTAGAAAAAGGCAAAAACTAATTACATCCTTTTTATTTTTTAATTTTTCTTACTACTCAATAGGAACTTCTATACGACAAGGAGAAACTTCTAGAGAACGGTGACAGGTGGGAAACTGAAATCGCCGAGAATCTCCGGTCCGAAAGCCTTTATCGTTGAGTAGTGTTCATTTTCAGCATCTGCGTAAGATGAACTTGGATCTGTTTTTTCCCTATGTATTTCTTTTTCGTTTTTTTCTAAATAAGGAAAGTGCTTTGGACTAATTACTCTATTTGCACGTCGTGATCTTGTGATTAAGGTCGTCGTTGTTTTTTGCAGTCATTTTTTGTTAATTGGAAAGATAACTCACTTAATTATAATCTGTATTGTGGTGGTAATCTCACCTTTTGGTATAAGTCATTCGGTTGTAATTGTTGATTACTAATCATCATATTTGTTACTAATTATTTTCAGGTATTTGCAATATCATCCCTCTTTGACTTTTGACTTTTGTTGTAATTCAAAAAGAAAATCTATAAAATAATGATATTTATTTTTGTAAATTTTATACACTCGTTTTTTCAATTGAAATTAACATTTTTGGAATTCAAAAACGAATTCCAATTTCATTTTGAAAAAGATTGGAATAAATTCAAAATCACGAGTTTTGGATCGAACTTGAAATTTTAATTTTGTCCGCTCATTTATATAATACTCCATTTGTCTCATAATATTTGTGTTGTCGAAGAGTTTCTCTTATCTCAAATTAGCCACTTTATATTTCTTATTTATCATTTGTAATTAGTTTTCGATAAATAATTAATAAAAAAAAAGTAATTTTCTATGTTTTTTGCTATAGTTTATACATTTATTGATTTTCTTTATAATATGTGAAGGAGTAGTATTAAAAATTTAAAAATAAAAAATAAAAAAAAAAAAAAACATTATAAAAACTGCAAAGCGTCTTTGAGACGTGTGAGAAAAACGCTATTGAACGACGACGTTTTAATACACACTGAAACTTTTCCAGAAGTGCGAGTTTCTATTAGCTTCCAATTGTGCGTGTGTGTGTGTGTGTGTGTGAGAGACAGAGGGGTAGAGAGAGAAAGGAGCTACAGAAAATCGGAGACGAATCAACGAACTATGATACGAGGAGTAATTATAATGAACGATCAAGGCAAGCCCCGCCTCATCAAATTCTACGAATTTCAGGTTCACCTCATTTTGCAATCACTCGATTTATTTCTTCTTTTCGATTTTTTTTCCCCTACTTTAACTGCCATTTCCATTTTATTGATTCGATCGTAATTTTGATGAACAATCAGCCTGTGGAGAAGCAGCACGAGTTGGTTCGGAGCATATACAGAAGTCAGCTCTAATTTTGTATTTAATTAAATAAAAAATAATTCACTTTTAGCACTAATTTTTTTTTTTTATACTGTTAATTCATTGCTCTGTTATTGCGCAGTTTTATGTAGTAGAGCTGAGAATGTCAGTAATTTTGTCAAAGTGGATTCTCTTTTCGGACCGGTAATCGGATTTTAATTTTATTTTTTTTAAATTACTTTTTTCATAAATTTGATTTCATATGCAGAAAATTCAGTATGTGAATAATGTGTGTGTGGTGTTTAAAGTTTGTGTTTGTTTTCAATTTGGGTGTATTATCGTGTATTGCAGGATGTAAGGCTCGTGTACAAAACCTTTGCAACGTTGTACTTTGTGTTCGTATTTGATAACTCCGAAAATGAGCTCGCGATGCTGGATCTCATGCAAGGTATTGCCTTATCGATTATTTGTTAATCCATTGAATTTTTGTTAGGTTTTTTTTTCCCGTTTTATCGAACTCTGCATAACTGCTGTTTTTGTAACTAGTACGTAACTGCATAATTTATAGGTGTTCAGTTCTCTTTTAAATTGGTTTTTAGATCGAAATTTTCTATATATACGTTGATGATTTGATAGCCACGGTGAGTGTTTTCGTTATATACGGATTGAAATTTCGGTTTTAGTAGTTAATTGTTTTGTCAATATACCTATGGTCTATTTTGGGGACAACTCTTAGGTATTCATACCCGTTGCAGGAAATAAAAAAATATTGTCAGTTATTTTTTTGAAAGAATTTAAAACTTGCCATAGTGTTGTCTTTCGTTAAAAAACTATTTCATTTTTATTGTTAAGTTTATGATACGAGTTCTTTTTTCATTGTAGTTTTTGTGGAGACATTGGACAAGTGTTTCAGTAACGTATGCGAGCTTGACGTAGTGTTTAATTTTAGCAAGGTTAGTTTCTTGTCCCTGTTATCATTACAAAGGTATTTACCAACGTGATTTTTTGGATTATCGGGTTCGAGTATTTTTTTGCTATGGTTGTCCATGAGAAACGTGCATGCCTATATATATATATATAATTCATGTCTGCTTACCTCGTCAATTGTGGCATGATAAGAAAGGAATTTATTGGAGCCACTACAAAATGAGTTGAATTATGCTTAGTTTATTTGTTAAAGTGAAAAGTGGTAGTGAAATTTGAATTGTTTCGAAGACAATGTGTTGCTAGTGAAATTGATTTACTGATTTGGGCCTCTATTTCACTTTAGCTGAGTTCTTGATTTTAAATTTACTTTTCGAATGGTTGAAAACCTGCTATTGACTATCGAAGGGTTCATTTTTGGTTCGGTATCTTGTTGTGCAGGTGCATACAATTTTAGATGAGATTATATTGGGTGGCCAAGTGCTCGAGACGAGTTCTTCAGAAGTCGTCAAGGCCGTTGAAGAAATCTCAAAGTTCTCTCTCTCTCTCTCTCACTCACACACACACACACACACACACACACACACACACACACACACACACACACACTCACACACTTACGTTTAGGGTATATTGCATTCAGCACCCATGTGTTTATTTTAATGGTTAAAAAAAAGTCGTGTTATTAATATTAGCAAAAAACCCTCTATAATACAGTTCTTTTATCGAACTAACCCCTTAAATCTCACCATTTAGGAGATTGTGTGCTTAAAAATGCGTTATAGGGTTTTTTTTTGCTAATATTAATAGCACAATGAACATTCTTAGCAATTCGATCCAACACAAAGACACTAATGGCAATAAACTCCCCACTCTTACAAATACTTCATCTAAATGATCCTACCCGTCTATTTTGTGCAGGATGGAAAGGAACGCAAATTCAATTCTACCAGCCAGTTGGCAGGGTCGATAGCAGCTGAATATTACTAATTCCGTTCGATTTCAACAAATTTTATGCTGAGTTAAACGCATCCACTCCTTTTTTTTTCTCCCATGTATAACATCGTCATTTCACCAGACTCGGGGGCACAGATATTTGAGATCAACCTTTCTATGAATTCGGATTTATTCGACATAAACTGCGAACGTACCTGCAAAATTCACAACACTATACTAACATTGTTAAGATTTTTCGTCGAATGAGACGATTCTTGTCTGTATTGTACTAATCTTGACTCTTTCATTTCTTTAATTGGTGACTAAGAAGATTAGTTACATGAATAGCTTTTGCATTTGAAGTGTAGTGTACATGTAATTTATGTTTTTATCGCCATATACTCTCCGGCTTCTACATCATGCTTGTGTTTTATCAGAGTCTGTTAGGCTCACAAGTAGGGGTGTTAACAAATCGAATCCAGCCAAATGGACGGTTGTTCAAGCCTGTTTGAAATTTTATCGACTTTGAAACATGTGCCTGAGCTTGATTTGATAAAAGATCGAGCTCGAGTAGCTTACTATATATTCATTCATTTCTAATTGAGCTTTATGGCACATCAAACAAAAATATATCTTCATGTTTAGTTCATTATGTTCACAAATCGAGATCAAACGAACTTTTACCAAATGATTAAAGCAGTTTAGTTTGAATACTATTGAATGTTAGAAAGAGAAATGAAAAAAAAAGACTCTGAAATTTGGTGCAAAGAGAATCCAAATAATAAATGGTATAGATCATGCTCAAAGAGAATCCATACATCTATGGGTGTAGCTCAACTAGTTCCGGATGTGGTAAGTTGGTGCAAGGTCCTAGGATCGAATACTGGCAGCCGTAGTGTGGAATTTCAACTCCAAATGAGGGTTGGTTCCTTGTGGGCACCAGGTCCGGGTCCGCTACCTTAACGGGCCGTTGAGTAACCATGATTTACATCCTCCATCAATCCTTGTCGGGCCTAAGGGATGGGGGCCCTTGGGGCGAGGGATTCGCCTTTTGGTGCAAGAAATGAAAAAAAAGACTTTAAATAACCTTCTCGTTTTCCAATGAGCTGATAAGAGATAATTGATGCTTTATAGATATGGATTAGCAAGGTTAAAATGGGGAAAAAAGCTAACGTGACAAATACTATGAAATAAAATAACAGTTATCAAATAATAAATGGTATAGATGAAATTAATAAACGCATAGAAGTACTAAACATTTCAAATATGTATTCAACATGGTCCCATGGTCTAGTGGTCAGGACATTGGACTCTGAATCCAGTAACCCGAGTTCAAGTCTCGGTGGGACCTTTACTCATTTATAGTATATAATTTTTTGTATTTAACTTTTATGCAGCTTTGTAAAATGATTTATTTAACTTGTCATTTTTTTAAAATTGTACAACTTCTCTGGTTAAAAACTTATTTTAAAATTGCATTCACACTTGCTCTCATATTATTTTTATATAAAATCCTCAAATAATACTTTCCGTTTTACGCAATAAACAACCGGTCCAATGTGAAAATTTGCAATTCACCAAAAGAACAAAAGAATATGTTAAAATTACATAAAAGTAAATAAATAAATAAATAAAAATATTGCAGCTTGTTTAACAAAAAACAAGCCTTCAAACAAAAGCCAATCACTAGCAATCATCCATCTCCTCTTTTGATTTTCTAAAACCTCTAAAAACAAACAAATTGGCCGTCTCTTTTGTGAATATACAGATTTAAAAAGAAAAAAGAAAAAAAAAATCTAGCCAGCAAAGAACATCCCAAACTGTAGTCACCCCTTATTACTAAAAAGAATCGAGACGAAAAATAAATAAAAATAATTAAATAAATCACCCCTTTTATCTCTCTCTAACCCCCCCCTATAGTCTCTCTACATCCAACGGCTCTGGAAAGATATCCTTCGACTGCCGTCCGATCGACGAAGATCGTTCATTTCTACGAGAAGCCGAAGGCGCTAATGTGGCAGCGCCCCCCACGTCAGACGAGCTATGCCGCCAGCTGCCGAAAAGCGCAGCATTCCACGACCCTCTAGAAGAAGTGGCCCGAAGCCTCTCCGAGCCACTCGGCTCTTCTCTTACAACCTTGAGAGGATTCTCCAAAGCTTTAAGAATATACCGCATGAGAGGTCTACGACTAGGTTTAGGGTTTAGGCATGACCTGGCGACTATAGCCATGGCCCACACTTCTTCTAGAAGGTCCTCGTCTATGATCAAAGATGGATCGATTATATTGGTCACGAGTTCTTTGTCGTATATATTGATGCAAGGTAGTGTTGCTTCTAGAAACTCCTTTGTGGCTGAGTCGTTGGTTGAGCTGATTCCTAGCTTGCCGGTTACTAGCTCCAGCAGTACTTTGCCGAAGCAGTATACGTCGTACGCACATGTTGCGTTTGGGAGGGTACCTGAGAATACAATTAAACCTCTATAAATTAATACAGTCGGGACTAGGGAAATTTTATTACTTTAGCGAATTATTAAATTATCGAGTCGGGACAAGGAGAAGCTATTATTTAATCGAGGTTATTAATTTATGGAGTAATAATTTATCAAGGTTCTACTTAATTTGGATTTTTTTTAATTTCTAGGAATTATACATTAAAATACTCAGCACATAAAATATAATAACAAAATTGAAGCAACCAGATATACCTGAAGCGCCTTGATCCGATGTCCTGCATATACAGAACGAAAAATGTCAAGAGTGTGATAAAGCATTGTGCTAAAAGAATTATAACATTCACCTAAATCACGAGCAGAAAAAGCTGTTTGGAAGTCGACATTTCTAAATTCAGCACCGTTACGAATTGCACAACATCAGAGATAACTAACGTTATAATTTTTTTAGAGAAATATGCTACATTTAAGTAGTCACTAGACCGATTTTTCTGATTTCTGCAAGGATCGATACTTTTGCAATTTTGAGTTTTATTTAAAAGAACAACAAATAAAGCGTAAGAATATAATCCCTCCGTTTCAAAATAACTGTTTCAGCACATGTGTTAAGAAAGCTAATAAATATGTATTGATTTTAGGGGGAAAAAATACGTAATGGGACTAAAGTACCCTTCCAAGTAATAATGGTAAAATCGGAAAAACAAAAAAAAAATCATTGCAATATTGGAATTTTAAAATGATTGATAATGCGGAACAAAAGAATTTGGATCACGAGAAGAAATGCTTACGAAGGCAACCACAGCATCTTTGTTATCCGATTATGATTTGTAATATCACCCTCTTGAGCACAAACCTGGCTCAAGCTTCCTAACCTTACTTCATATCTATCATCAAGAAGTATGCTGCTCGCTTGAACATCCCTTCAAATAATACAAACAAAAAATAATTATCATTGTCTGTGGCAAAGTCGAGCAAAACACGTGCACAATTCATCAATAGAATATGTATCCGTATGAAACAGTTTAGTCTTTCATTTCGATTTATTTACTGTTATCCAATGGTTTTTAGTTCTAGAAATACAAAATTACTAGGCGGCATCAAACTAGACTCAAGAAGCATAGAAAACAACAATTATACATACAACTCAGCAACTCTACAATATATACACGTGTTTGTTCCGATGTTGGTGAACTAATGCCAGTGGTTCTGTTGTTCTTTATATTTAGTTTCCTAGAATAAATGCTGCATCTCTTTTGATTCTATTTTTTTTTTACGTGTAAAGACGATCCAACTACATTTGAGAATGCTGGCGCAAAATAAGGGCTAAACGGATGAGCATCGTCTAAAATGGGAAGAAAGTAAAAATTGCCGACACGGAAATAAATTACTTTACACAAGATCTTGGCCTCATTAGAATGCATGTGATGTGTCATAAATGAAGAACTACAACTACTAGCAATAATCCAAATCCGACAGAAAATTGTCGAAGTTGATCTAGCGAAGTTAAGCATGCACTTTATCAGTTGCCGAAATGGTAGAGAAACAAATTGCAATACCCACGCGCCCAAAATTGAATATTTCAATTATTTAGGTATAAGATACACCAAAAAGTAGCCGAAATTCAATGTGCTTTATTAAATAGGCTACATTAGAAAATGGATCTATAAGCAATCAAGAAGTGCGGAACTGAATCTAACAAACATGTGCGAGTTCAAATAAATACCTGTGAACAAGTGGCGGAACACATTCGTGATGCAAATAAGACAAACCCTCGGCAGCTCCAATCGCAATTTTGAGTCTAGTTATCCAATCCAGTGACTGTAAACTGTCATCATCATCAGAATTTATTTTCTTGAATAATGAACTGGACAAATCTCTATTCGGCATGTATTTATAAACGAGATATTTTTCGTTCTCATTCTCCAAACAATGGCCCAAAAGAGGGACGAATCTTGGATGCGAAAACTTGCTAAAAAAGTCCAATTCCGACATATACATTCCCATTTTCACTGATGAATTCAAATCTATCTTTTTTATCACGACAGGTATTCCACCTTCGAGTTTTCCAGAATAAAGATCTCCAGAGTGACCGCTCTTGATCAGATTCGCATCATTAAATTCACCGATAGCTTGAAGAATCTGCTGCAACGTAAACGTATCTCCGATGTTGGAAAAGTTCAACGATGCTCCGGGAGGGGGTGGAGGCCCCCCAACGGCAGGAGTGGGGCCCACGCCAACGGCATTACCAGGAGGTGTTGTGTTTCTCTTGCGCTTGCACATAATTATCACTACTATGATCATTACAACAAGGGCAATAAGAGCAGCTCCTAAAACAGATGATAAAATGATAATCGATTTGTGGCTCTTATTATCTGATTTTGGAGGAGGAGGTGTGGCATTAGGCTCTCCAAAATTATCGAACACCAAATTCCTGTCAGAATAGAACGAGGCACAATCTGTTGCATTCCTCTGATTAGTCACATTTCGGAGGCAATTACTCCTAAGAGATGCATTGCCACGTGCGTAAATTGGAACCGGACCCTCGAAATAATTCTCCGACATGTCGATAAAACCGAACCTCATAATTACAGGTGTCAGATTTCCATAAAAAAGATTCCTCGAAATGTTGAATACTGCACCGTTATTATTAGCAATCGAGCCGATATTTGGCATTAGACCGGTGAAATTATTACCAGACACATCGAGGAATTTCAGTTCGGGCAGGGACCACAGAACATCTGGAAACTCACCACTAAAACCGTTCTTACTCAAAACCACAAAACGCAACCGAGTCCAAAGAGGAAACAGGGTAACAGGCAAAGGTCCTGAAAGTAAATTATCCTCGAGTACCATTCGTTGCAAATTCTTCAACCCTCTAAACTCTGGAGGCACTGAACCGGAAAGAGAATTAAATCCAAGATCGAGTTCGATCAGACTAGAAAGATCGCCTATTTGAGCAGGTATCGAAGACGAAAAACTATTTCCTGATAAATTCAAGAACTGCAAACTGGACAAATTCCCAATGCCGGTTGGAATCAGTCCGGACAAGAAATTTAAAGACATGTCCAGCAAAGTAAGGTTCCCAAGATTGGAAAATGTTTCGGGAATAGACCCTGTAAGGAGATTCCGCGAAAGATCAAGGGCAGAGAGCGTAAATAACTGGCCTAAACTAGACGGAACACCACCAGTTAGCTTGTTATCAGACAAATGCAGTTCAATTAAGCTGCTCAAATTTCCAAGAGTGAATGGAATAGCACCATGAATTGAGCAAGACCTAAGATCGAGCACTCGGAGAGAGGGAAGTGATCCGAACCAGTCGGGAATATTCCCCGGCATTGGAAAATTCGAGGCGTTGAACGAGGACAAAAGTGTTAAATTCCGGAGTGCGTCCACTGAAAATCGAGGGTTTCGATTCCCAATTCTGGTTCTCGTGAACCCTGAAACGCTGATTCCTGTGACCCGACCGTTTGTGCACTGAATACCCGCCCATTGTGTACACGGGTTGGATTTTATCGGCCATTCTTTTGCCCTCAACCCTAATGAAGATCTTAGCTGAAGCAAATCCAATTTCTCTTGCCACGAGAACGGCAATTGCTGCTCTACTGTGAGACCGAACAGTACGGAAAACGATGCTACACAAACAAAAAATAACCTGCTCCACCGATCCGCCATTGCTGCCGCAACTTCATTGAGCTCTAAATACAGATAATTGGCGTTTGGTATACTCAGAATTCTTCGGTTCCTACGCCATTTTTTTTGTTCTGCTTGCTTCGGTTGACGGAGGAGAGAGAAAATAGGGCTTCCGAAGAAGGAGATTAAAAAAATCCAAAAAAAATTAATTATGGGGTTTTAGGTAGAGAGAGAGAGAGATAGAGATAGAGAGAGAAAGTGAAATGCAGAATAGTGAGTAGAGCGGCGATGGTGATTGGGGTTGGGGGTTGGACAGTGGTGTAGAGAGAGAAAGAGATCGATACATGCAAGCTTTCTCTCTCTAAAATAGCGCAGAAGAAAAAAAAGGTGAAAACTTTTCGTTTGTGCAATTGTTTAAAAGTTTACAAAAAACCTTTTTTCGCCGGCGGCGGCGGGCTGCAGAGACGAGTCTGCCGGGTCGGGTTCGAGAGGATCCGATCGGATCGGCGAATTCGGGTTCGGGTCTGACTGAAAAGTGAAATCAGTATGACTCCGATGGGGATTTTGACCGCCGCAAATCCCGCCCAATACAGCTCAGCTTCACTGAAACTACTCTCGCTTAAATAGCATGTGCCCTATTATTTGGGACCAATTTTTTTTTTTTTTTTTTTCTATTTAATTAATATATATAAAAAATTTCAATACAATTTAAAATATTAAATATGAATATAATAGGTGTGACAAGAAATAGTCCAACACTTGAACCAAAAACAACCCATGCAATATGTATGCATATATACTTTTTCTTTACTTCAATTTTTATTTTATTAGTATAAAATTTAAAATAAGAGTAGCTAATTAATTTTCGATTCGTTGTTAAAAATTTGTTTGAGCTCGATAAACATTACGAACGAGGCTTTAATGTTTTTTATTTATTTATTTTTGCCATTATACATTGGATGAAATGTACGACAGATGGATCTTCAACGTTCGTCTATACACATTGATTTTGTATATGAATTAATAGAAAATATTTATTACCATAATAGTTAAATATTTTTTAAAGTTGGACTAAATGTAAGAGAAGACTAAATAAGTCAATGATTCTTGCCATAGTATAGTATTTAATTTATAGGGTTATTATAATTGGGTAGATAATATTCATTAATCATCATAATATACAACTAATCATAATTCCCTCGTTTAAGGAAAGTGCTTTCAAGAAATTTAATAAATTTTGAAAATATGAATATATGGATTTTAATAAATATATAAACATTAATAATTTTTCGAATCATGACTCGTATGCAGTGGCGGAGCCACGTTGAAGGGTGGGTGGGCTGAAGCCCACCCTGATTTTTTTTTTTTTTATGGAATATTTTAATGCTAATTATGTTTAGTTATTATTTTTATACACTATTTTAATCCTAATCTATTTTAATTAGCCCACCCAATAGATTTGTAATATAGTTTAAAGAGTTTTAATAATTATATTTTGGACAATATATAATTTAATATATATAATTTAATTAAAATATACAAATTTCTATTTATTTTGCTCTATATTTTTTAAAAAAACTCTTAAAAAAAATTCGGGGCTCTATCTCCGAACCCCGTAAAATTTTAGCCCACCCTCACCGCAAATATTGGCTCCGCCACTGCTCGTATGCATAATATTATTATCGTGTTTTTATTGTTAATAATATTATATACTGAAATGAAGTGCTAAAATATAGAAAAACAAATGAATATTAGGAATTATTTTTTTAACCATTTTTTTGAAAAATTTATGGGGTTATATCATAAAAAAAATAAAAAAATTCACAAATGGATAATATATTTTATATATCCCTATCATAATATTTTACTCTATGAATAATGAGTTGTAATGTAGTACATAAGAATCGGCCATCTATAGTTGGTGGGAAGGTGGACTTAAAAACTAGTGTTTTTTTTCTAAGTGTCCGTTAGAAAATTTAAAAAGAGTGGTTGCCTAATTAATTAATGTCACTCAAAGACATATATTAAACACATTTATTAAATTCAACTTTTCCACTCCATCTTATATGATGTGAGAATCAGCTAATCGGTGAAGGAGTCCGATTTTCGGCCAAAACATCTCACATCATCGCTGAATTGATTAATTGTGGGATAAATTTGGGGGAACCTTCATTGATTTAGGGGCGGTTGGTTCTAGTCATGAGTGGTCGGATGATTGCCAATATAATCATGGGTGGTCGAATAGGGATGGCCGATTGCCTGACTTGGATAATAAATAATGGGAAAATATAAAGTATAAATATAGTTAAAAAGGGAATTGCTCTTTATGGTTTGAAAATTGCTATTTGCGGTTTGGGCGCCCGAGTTGGGCGTCCAGTGCAAAATTTTTTTTTTTTTTTTTTTTTTTTAAATGTTCGAACGCCCAAGATGGGCGCCCTCGTACACGCCTTAGGCGCCCATCTTGGGCATTCAAACAGTTTTTTGCGAAAATAAAAAGCCCTACAAATCGATTTGTAGGGCTTTTTAACATGAAATTGGTTCTGTAATCGACCTACCCAATGCATATTACACATGAAAGAGTCGAAATTACATCAAAAAATCGAAGCCCAACCCTTCTTCAAGCTTGATTTCGAATTTTCGATTTTTTTTTTTTTTGCTAATTGCAGTTTTGGGGGGTTTTTAGATATTTTTAAAAGTTTTGAGGGGTTTTGTTAGAAACCGCGAATAGCAATTTTGTGACTGCAAATAGCATTTTATAGTTAAAAATGAGGTGAGGTAAATAAAAGCAAATTAATAGGTGAAAAATTAAAACAATATAAAGAAAAATTGTATTTTTAATATATTAAAACTAATAAAATATTAAAAAAAAAAAAAAAATCAGTTGAACCATTTCGGTCCTATAGAACCATAACTCAAATGGTCGCCCGGTTCTATAAGCGGTCCGGTTCTGACAACAATGGAGAGACACATTTCAAGAGGGGGAAAAGGTAAAAAAAAAAATGAAAAAATATGAATAAAACAAGCTTGGGATCACCATTTTTATGAAAATGTCATTAGAATCTACTTTATGAGTAATTATATTTATCTAATATAATCATTAAAAAGGATAATGCAAGTGAGCAAGCACACGTGATCACCACCATGGGCCCATGATTGGTTAATTTGTAAGAATAATTAACAGGGTGTTTGGCTAAGCTTATTTTTAACAGTTGATAAGTTCTTACGTCTGATAAGATGTTTTAAGAGTTGATAAGCTGTTACATTTTATTTTTAGGATTAATTTTTAGAGTGTTTGAATAATGGGCTTATTTCTTGTTTTTACTCATTAAAAGATCTTAAATAAAAAAGTGGGGTAGATGTACTTATTTAAAAAGATCTTATTCGCTCTCCAACAACTTATTTTTAAAAAAATTAAGATTTTTTTCTAAAAAATTATCAAATGACTTTTGAAGAGCTTATAAACTCTAAAACATCTTATAAACTCCTTTTAATATCTTATAAGCTTAGCCAAACACCCTCTTAAATTTAAAAAGAAAATTAGAAATGGGCTTTTACTTTATACATATGCAAGCCTGTATATTAGCATTTTTTTATAAATATACTTGTACGTCAATTTTGATGGCCTTAAAAAAAAGTCCTTATAGAGAGCCCGAATAGTATTACAAACCCACCTTTAAAAATATCTCATCGTGGGCCACGTCAGCAGTAGGCCACTTGGGAAAAAATATCTTTCAAATTAACTCTATTTTAACCCGAGTTAGGTCAGTCGGCGCGGTGAAGGGTATATTCCGTAGTATTCGTGACTTTTTTAATGGGGTTAAATTAAATATTAATATTAACCTTGTTAAATTAAATTAAAATGACTATTCATATCAAAAAAACATAAATCACACTATATTAAATTAATATTGATATTTCATTCAAAACTAGTAATATTATTTATATTTTTAAAATTCATATAATAAAAAAATTGATATTCATATTAGCGATATTAGCAACTGAAATGTTAAATATCGTTTCAATTTTTTTTAATAGCGTTTTGACTTCAAACCTGATTTGGACAAATTTATAGTTTGATTTTGGCAAAATTCAAAAGAGACAACAGTAGCTCTTTGAGTTAACTTTCTAAATCAACTCAAATCAGATAGATTGGATGTTGTGTGACAAAGTTATGTATGAACGATTCTCATGTTGAATTTTAGACCACCCAATACATCAAAGTTGCGGGCAGTATTCATAACATTGATTAATGTATATTTTTCTAATCGGTGATTCAAGTTTGATTAGAAAGCTCACTCAAAAAGCTACAAATTCAATGTTTCCCCATTTCGCAAAATCTGAATTAAAAAAGATCAAACTCACGTTTGAAATCGAAACAATATTATTAAAGCTCGAACGACATTTATCACATCCCATCAACCGAAAGAAACAATCATCCCGTATTTCCAACCGGCAAAAATTATCGTAATCAATTACTTGACTCACAAAAATCGAGCCGATAATCCCAACTCACGAACAACCCTAACCATAGTTAAAAGAAAAATTTAATATACAAAAAAATAAACGCTAGGCAACCCTAATGACATTTTTGTAATTATTTATTTTTAATATTCTTTTCGTACCAATATTCTAACTATATTTTCAACAATTATCAAAATTGACATTGAACCGTGAAGAATCATTCCGGCTTCAATCTACTCCTTTTCATCAATAAGCTTAAGAAATATAGATAAAAATTCGATTTGTTAAATTGATCGTTTTCTTTTTTCCACTTTTAAAATACAATGCCGTGCATCGCCCGAGAAAAAAAATGCTAGTTTAGGATAATTCCAGTATGATATATGCAAATATTTAACTATTGTCCAATAGAGCTTCCCACGGAAACCGGCTACACCAGCGGGCAGACAATCCCCGCCGCCCTCCTCTTTTAACCACGGTTACATAAACTGACAAAAATACCCCCACACACTGCGCACACCGCTTTAACCCTAAACCTAACCAATCCTCCCACCTATATATACACACCAGTACTCCGTCTTCTTCTTCTCATCACCTCCTTTTATTTTCAAAAGCAAATCTGTAAAAAAAATCTCAGAAAAGAAAAATCAATGGCGGATGTTGAATTTAGATGTTTCGTAGGTGGGTTGGCGTGGGCAACCACCGATCAATCACTGGAGCACGCGTTTTCACAGTTCGGCGAAGTCATCGAATCGAAGGTCCGTTTGTCGCAGAGATCGGATCTCAGCCGATTCGATCTCATCTGCTGACGTTACTGTTACTGTTACCGTTACTCTCTACTGATTACTGTTACTCTACTGTTACTGTTACTCTCCGTTACTCTACTGTTACTGTTTCTGTTACTATAAATTTACACCTGAAAAGGTACGCTCTTTCGTCCTCTCTTTTTTTTCACCGGAAAAGAGTCGTCGAAGATCGGAAAATTGATTTTTTTTTAATTTTGGCGAATTTTGTATTTTAGATCTGGATCTGAAAAATCGATTAGATCTGATGAATTTTTGTTTTTTTGGTGATGATTTGCAGATTATTAACGATCGTGAAACTGGTAGATCCAGGGGATTTGGATTCGTTACTTTTAAGGATGAGAGATCTATGAGGGAAGCGATCGAGGGTATGAACGGCCAGGAGCTTGACGGCCGTAACATCACCGTGAACGAGGCTCAGTCTCGCGGTAGCGGCGGCGGTGGCGGCGGCGGATTTGGTGGCCCTCGTCGTGAAGGTGGTTATGGAGGAGGCGGCGGTGGTGGATATGGTCGACGTGAAGGTGGTGGTGGTGGTTATGGTGGAAACGGAGGCGGCGGCGGTGGATATGGACGTCGTGAAGGTGGTGGTGGTTATGGCGGCGGCGGCCGTGGTGGAGGCGGTGGCTATGGCGGTGACCGTGGCTACTCTTCCCGTGGTGGAGGATCTGAAGGAAACTGGAGAGAATGAGCTTGTTGTTAGGGTTTAGTTTGGTTTTATTTTACAGTAATCTTCATGTTTGAAGTTTTCGGATTCGATTGTTGGTTTGGTTTCGTGGTTATTCTATCGGTTATCGTTTTGTTTGAAGTCGTTTATTGTCGAATGTATGAATCAGTGTTTACAGAGTTCACAATCATGGAATGAAGTTAATTGTGGTTCTTACATGTCCTGAATTTGTTGTCTATTCTAACTTTAGTTTGAATCTTGATTTAAGTTTAAATTCCGGAATCGAAAGATACGTGCTAACATTTTGATTGCAATAAGTGAAAGAGAAATTGAATAACGAAATAATGTACCTTTACAACAAACAACGTTTTTTACAACAACTTTTTCCCATAACACAAACGCTTCGTCTCAGAAAAGTGACAATCCATGGGTCTAGTCGATTGTCTTGCGCCGATAATTGAATAGAGATTAAAAAGCTCATAAAATGTTGATTATTCTCCTAATTGAATAGAGATTAAAAAGCTCATAAAATGTTGATTATTCTCCGATGCGCCGATAATCGAATAGAGATAAAAAAGCTCATAGAAGGTCGATTGTACTCAGATGCCCAATCTTCTTGTGCCGATAATCAAATAGAGGGCACAAAATCACTTCAATTGCACTTGCCTCTCGTATATTGATCAAGAACTTTCTGTTTGTAGTTTTGGATCATGGGCTAACAAGTGCATCTAGTGGACGCGTTCTAATGTCGGTTTTTTTATTACGGATTCTAGAAGAGAAAATCGAGAGCATTTTGAGAGAAGTAGAAGATATTGTAGAGTTAATTCAATGTCTCCTTTCGAATTTGTTGGATAGGGAAATCATTATCTCCCTTTCGTTTGAATCTATGTATACTGTTTATATAAGTATTTACTGGAGGTCTTGGTTTCAAAAACTTAAACATCCTTAATCAAGCTTTTACCCATAAATTCGGCTCGCGCATTCTCACCATTCCACATCTATTTGGGTTGAGTTCATGAAAGCTAAATATCTGCGTAAAAACTCTCTACTTCATGTAAATCAAACCAAATCTAATCACAGCTATATGTGGAAAATCATATGCAAAAATATAACTCTCTTAAAAGAGTGTTGCTTTTGGATACTTGACAATGGCAAAAAAATTAATTTCTAGTTTGATAAATGGATTGATAACATTAGAATTGCAGATTACATAAAAGAGATCCCTAAAAAATGGAACCTCCAATCTGTTGAAAACTTAATACCTGTTTTCATCTTTGACAAAATTAAAGATATCTATATCACTATGTATAACAGAAAAGATACATTGCAATGGGCACTATAAAAAAATGGTAAATTTACCATGAAAAGCACTTCTCTTTGGATTCTTTATTCTACTCATATTAGTCACGGTCCATCTTTTGTTGGAATTTTCATGATTTCCAATAATTAATATTGAGTAATATTAATTTAATTATGTAAAGATTAATTTCATTTATTTACTTGATCAAAATCATGAAGTAAAGTGAATGAAAATTGTCTTGATTAAATGGTTAAATTTCAAAAGATGTGCGCTCGGTGTGATCGAGTGATAGGACTAGTTTGGGTTTAAATGTCCACAAATATTACTTTTGGGGACATTTAGTAGTTAGTCAAATTATTTGAACCAAAATCCAAATAATAAAATACTTGGCCCAAACCAAATTAATTAATTGGCCCATGACCAATTAATTTTCCGACGTTTTTTGAACTCGGTAAAAAGAACAGACACAACCTTCTGTTTCTTCTTCCAACCACTGCATCCCTCTGTGAATGAATATCTATCACCTATAAATAAAGGCAGAATCTGGCCAATTCTGTATCGAATTTAATCGGCAATTAAGAGATAGTTCTTCATATTTTCCTTTTCTTCGTCAAAGTTCCGTTCGTTGTTCAAGTTCGCCGTGGGTCGAATATTCGTGCAAATATTCGACAACCGATCGTTGTACCTTGGGAGACTACCGGGAAGAGACTGTGCACCGTTGACAGCCCGGAAATATTGTCTTAAGGGAATTGCCTTGGCAAGCCTCGATCGTTCTTTGTGTTCTTCACAATTTCTCTTTTCGACAAACAAGTAAGTATTTTTTCGTTTACGCAGATTGTTTATAATTATACCAACATCTTTATCATGGAATAAGCTTTGGAAAATAAAAGTCAGTCACATAATTAAGTTTTTCTTTTGGCAATTGGCCCATAGCATTATACCAACCTTTCACTTCCTTTATAGATGGAAAATCATTGAATCAAGCAACTGCCCCTTGTGTTTAAAACATCCTGAAACCACTTACCATCTTTGTTATAAATGTGAGTCTTTCAAGCTGTTACTTAGGAATCTTCCATCTCTTCAAATTAAGGACAACTGTCATTTTTGTATACTCGGCATAATAACAATCTCATTCAAAAAATGTTGGTTCTTTTTCGGTTAATATGGAAGGCTCGAAATGAATTTCTCTTTCAAAATATCAACATAGATATTACTCGAATATAGGATCATGCTAGACAGTTTTTCACCTTGGAATCATGCAAAACACCAACCAACAATCATACTAAAATTAAATGGACCCCCACCACCAAATTGGTTTAAAATTAATATTGATGACTCTTCACTTTCAAACCCTGGAAAAACAGGTATTTGAGGTGTCATACGTAATAATACAGGTAACCTCATCACGGCTTTTGCCGAAAATATTAGTACTACCAGTAATAATAAAGCGGAGGTTTGGGCTTTTCATAAGGCTCTCACAATTGCTAGAGACTTGGAAATCTCAAAACTCATTATTGAAACTGACTCAAGTTTTCTGTTATCTTGTTTTAATAGGAGGAAAACATCCCACAGCAAGCTGCAAACCCTCCTGGAGGACAGTGAAAAAATGCTGCAAAGTTTCCAGAACGTCCGACTTATTTTTGGGTAAAGGGAGACTGACAGTGTGGCGGATATGCTTGCAAAAAAAAAAAGCGTCACTTAGCTCTGGATGCGTCCTTAATTTTGATAACACACCTTACTTTTTGAAAGAACTTTTGTTAAAGGATTTGCATATCCTGTATGAACGCCAAAATTTAAATCGATGTAATATCTCCCTCCTTTTGAAATAATAATATAAACCGTGTTTTTATTTGTTCAACGAAAAAAAAGTATAAGTATTTACATTTAGATATTTAATCTTGTGTTTTTTTTTTACTATTATTCCTCCTCATATTATGCCAAAAGTTATTGCACTTTATGGTTATTTCTATGGTACACTGGGTGATTTTTTTACAGTCTATGTCTACAAACACCATGTTTTTGTGTGTATATGAATGGTAAAGATCTACACTGTAGCATAGAATAGACCCGCACTTTATATAACATTTTTGTTTTTATTATTTATTATGAGTTTGGGGGTTTGGGGCTATTGATTCTTTCGTGGCAATCTTTGTCTGCTTGGAAATAAAGGCTTTATATACGAACCATTTATTTAACATATCATTTCAGCCTCATAAGTCTATTATTAATTTACACACATCATTATGGAAATCCCAATGGGCCAAGTCTCTACATAGCTCATCTTTATTTTAAATGATTTTACTTTTTATTTTTTATTTTTTAATTTTTTTTTGGCGCAAAAATTTTATTTGATACCTTAATCAGTTAATGCCACCACACTAGTCACAAGCCCATTCAACTGCGGTCAACTTGATTTGATAAATAGTCGAGTTGAGCTGAAACGAGTTTTAATTAAGCCGGACACAAATCAAATTTGAATAGCGCTTGATTTCTAATCCATATGTTATCATTTTATAATCGAGCTCGAAATCGTACCGAATTTCACAACTTTTCAAAATAAAATGTGTACAAATTTTGTTCACTATGTTAAGAAACTGAGTTGAGTTCAAATTAGAAACATTGCCCACAAAAGTGAAAAAAAAAACACAAAAACATGATGAAATAAAGGATAAAGCTTTTGTTCCTACAAAGAATCTTAGTAACAAGAATACAGTCCCACAATATCTCTGTGTCCAATCTCACACAATCTGCACTACGTACAATTTTATTCAGTCTTTGTTATGATGAACGCATGCATGCAAAAGTTTCAAGAAATTACTATCATATATATATATATATATATATATATATATATATATATATATATATATATATATATATATATATATATATATATATATATATGT